TGCCGTAGCTTATAACTCTGTATAGCAACTCTGTATTACCACCCCGTATACAAGATACGTTATCTGGACTTATGTATCTTACTTACCCTCACTACCTTAGTCGAAAAACCCGATCCTCAGGTAGAGCTTAATATAAAGAGCTCTATTTCAATGTCTTGAGCGCAACCTCGGACATTTCGAAATTTATGACAAACGACGGATTAGCATCAAACACGAGGATCACAGACATCGTATCACAATGGCACGCCTCTTAGACTGGAATGAAAAGATGGTAGCGTCAAAATTCATTTGAATTTACGTAAATACGAATATTAGATGCCAGTTAAAACTTCAAAACCGAAATAGTTGCAGCGTTCCGTCAAAGCTTAGGAACGCTGCGTACTGCGTTTTTTAAATGAGCATGCGACAATGTTGAAAGTTGCACTTCAATGTGAATCTCATGCCTAATTGAAGGTGAACCTCCAGTTCTTCCTTGCTAATCGGGTGGCAATGCGTTATGCATTGACTGATAATTTAAATTAGTAAAATAATGCATAAATTAGATCGTAATGAAAGTTAAATCGTGAGATCGGTGATAATTTTCTTATGGGTTTTGTCACGGCATAAATTATGGAATTAACTGGTGATAAAGTCCTTATTAAATACTGAGCTATTTGTGCTTGGAATGAAATAACCCAATCATAGTTTTGATTCCTGTTAGCCGCTGGCTCAAAGATGCCCCAAGCTCGCCTAGCGGTGTATACTAGCGGCTCCGTGTCCGTTTTAGGTTCTGGTTGAGCGAAGGAAATAAGCACCTGATTAGGATCTGGTCAATTCCTTGACGACCGTGGGGGGACCTCGGGGCTCACGTATTTGGTACCGGATACGTTCGGGACAGACACGGCCGAATCTGAAAAATGCGTTTAAAAAAAGCCCTCTCCCTTTCCCCTTTTATGGGGGGAAGGGAGGGGACATTTGAATCATCGCGGCACAATGAAGCAAGTGGCAAGTTAACACGGGTTTGAAACGGGAATAATATCAGTTAATGCAACTTCCCCCAACTTGCCACATTACCCACAACATTCTCTTATATTTGCCAAAATGCAAGATCCTCTCACATTGCCCGAGCAAAATTATCTTCAACATTCACCAGCAGTCAGCATTGTCACACATTTCCCAAAACCAAACTTTTTTAATATGCAATATCACTCAACTATCAACATACTCCAATATTCAACACTGCACTATATTATCCCACATCATCCATGTACGAAACATTCTACCATTTACTCGTACCAAACACTCCTAACTGTTGCGGTAGTAGCGGCCGGTGCCAAACATTTACCACGTACGGCAGAGCAAAACATTATATCTCACCTTAACCTGTATTAAACCTTCTCTCATATTCGCCAGCACTATATATTCACAAATACTGTTAAGCATTCTCCCGCATTAACCAGTTGAATCAGTCCTCAAAATTCTCCCAAAATTTTAGTAAAAAACAGCTTATTGCATCCACAGAGCTTAAGGGGAGCGTCTAGGGTAAAATTTATCTCGGCTATTTACAGCTGAATCACTCTGAAACGAGGTACACATATGAAAAACAGAAATCTAAGACTTTTTTGTTCATGTGAATTTTTCGAAAAAATAAAAAAAACGTGAAAATCTAAGAAAACGGCCAAGAAGGGGGTACCGTTGAAATCTATCTCCTCCTTGGATTTTCAAGCTAGAACATCGAGACACATATCATTCGATGCGTAAAGACCATATCCAAAACTGAACACGGCGGTTTTTTGGATTTCTCATTTTTGTGGGTGTGGGAGCATTTTTCGAAAAATTTTCGATTTCCTCTTCGCCACCCCCCTTTTTGCGGAATAAAATCCAAACTATAACGAAATTATAAAAACGCCCGTGTTCAATTGTAGATAATTTTGTTGCGCATTGAACGGTATATGTCTTATCGATGTAGCTTCAAAACTCTAGGAGGAGATAGGTTTTCCGTGACAATAAGTTGGAATGTTGAGGAGAGCGCGACAAAGTCCCGCGCGCACCGCAATATGCGCTCAATGTAGCATAGATACCAAACTAAACTTTCTGGAGCTTAATTCCACTCGAGGATGATGGGAGCGACTACATGCACATCTCTCCGTACAACGCCCGGAGGCACACTGAGTTAAACCTCATAGAAACACTATATTTGTAGTGCTGGGCAGCGAATTAGTTCCTATGTAATTACTGAAAGAACACCCCCCACCCCGCCCCCCTTTCATGAAGTGTCGTGAACGCATAAATTAACGTACAGAGATGGTAATGGTACCGTTGGATAGGCCAGAATGTCAGCTTTAAGATGAGCCTAAACACGTAACTGCAGCACAACTCAAGTAGACACTATATTATGGCAGTGGTACCGTTGGATAGGGCAGAATGTCAGCTTTAAAATGAGTATAAAAACCGAAAAAGAGAAAATTTTCAATGTAAGGGTTGACGCTCCCCTTAATTCTAACCATTCCAATATAGCAAAAATTCAATATAGTAGCTAATTCCTGTTTCCAGGTATGAAGTGAATATATAGCGAAATTATGCACGGAAATGCAATTTTTTCCAATCCTTTGTACCTAAAATTCTCGAAATACACACGTGCAAATAACAATAGTTCGATTTCATTTCGAATAGAGTTCACAATAACAGAACCGTGCAACTTAGTTACCTTACAAATTTTCTCTGTAACCCTGTTGTACCGCGTCTTCAGCAGCAAGCTGTCCGCCGACCATTTAGTAAGGTTGCCAGATGCCACTACTCAACTTAAGCACGCAATGTTAATCGACTCGAGGAGTCTATATAAGTTTTCGGTTCCACAGTCCACAAAACAATCCAGATGTCTTGGTTGGGGAAACAGAAATTATAACCTCGAGTAGAAGAACACGAGCAGCTGAAATAACACGTTCGTGTCAATATACCCCTAGCCAAGTTAAAAATTTCAGCAAAAGTCTTTAACCTCGACGGTGTGTTCTTAAATGTCGTTATTCCGGGTATTCCAAGCTCCAACCGCCAAAGAACTTCACTTTAGGAGGCACTGGACATTAAACCCTTAGGAAGTTGAGTTTCTAAAGATTCCTAAATTAACTTGTGCAGCCTTTAGAAACTTGATTGTTTTCTATTAGCTTGCATCGCAGTTCACACTAATGATACACGATTGAAACGAGAAGCATGTCTAATATAATTATCAACCGCACTCGACGAAATGCACCGAACTACTGACAGCTTGACACCAGAGCGTCGGGGGTAGTGGGTACGGATAACCCCACCTTGAACAGGAAGTATTTTGGGGGCTGTTTATTAGTCCTATACCTCGAAAGCGTGGGTTAAGCCGCAAAAACAATGCAAGCATGCCGCAAAAACATTGCATGCTTGTTGTTAGAACGCGACGCAAATATATAGACATAGAAGTAACACGAGCGTGTTCAAGACAACGCAATGCGCCACGCGTGTTTTACATATTTGCACATCGCAAGCGTGTTAAGGGGAGCGTCTGGCCAACTTTTTTGGATTTGGCTTTTCGTTTTTTAGTCTTATCTTAAAGCTGACATTCTGAGCTATTCAGCAGTACCAAAACCATCTCTGTACGTTGATTTATGCGTTCAGGACAGATCCCGAAAGGGAAAGGGGTGGGGGAGTTCTTTAACAAATGAGATAGGGGGAAATTAGCTGCCGAGCACATAAATAGAGTGTCTGCTTGAGCTGCGCTTCAGTAACCCGACTGGCGTCGTACGGGGTGGTGTGCTAGCAGTCGCTCCCACCATCCCTGACTGGAATCAAGCTCCAAAACGCTTAGTTTCGTATCCTTGCTACACTGAGTGGCTATTCCGGTGCACGCGGTACTTTGTCGCGCTGTCCTGAAAAGTTAATTTATTGTCACGGCAAACCTATCTTCTCCTAGAGTTTTGAAGCTACAGCGATGAAACATACACCATTCAATTTGCAATTAAAATATTTATCAATTTGTCGTATTTTTTTCGAATTTCGTTATAGTGATGAAAATATTTTGAAAAGGGGGGGAAATTGAAAAAAGCGGAAAATTTTCGAAAATTTTGGGAAAAATGCTCCCACATCCACAAAAATTAGAAATTAAAAAAAAATACAACGAATCGATGGATATTTTAATTGCGAATCGAATGGTATATGTCCCATCGCTGTAACTTCGAAACTCTAGGAGGAGAGAGATTTCTACAGCACCCCCTTTTTGGCTGTTTTCTAAGAATTTCACGTTTTCTTCCAATTTTTCGAAAAATTGACACGAATAAAAGCTGTCTATTTTTCGGCTTTACATATGCATGTGTACCAAGTTTCAAAGTGATCCGTCTGTAAATAGCCGAGATAAAATTTTGGCCAGACGCTCCCCTAAAAAGAAACGCAATGTCCGTGTTAGATAGGGTGTTGAAGATAACGCTGTTCACGTATGCGCTGCTGAAAACGCGTGTTGACGAGCATCAGTAGCAACCCCATTGATATAAAAGTAACGCAGGTTAGTTGAAGATAACGCAATGACAACGTATTTTTCTATGCGCACGCAAAGCAAGCGCGTTGACAGACACGCATTGCACGCGTGTTGAATCTCCAGCAACTCTTGCGTGAGCAATACGCACTCGATGCAAGCGTGTTGAAGGTAACGAAGCGCAAGCATGTTGTCGTACACGCAATACAAGAGTGTTTAAACGCTCGCGTGTTGATAACTTCGTACACATGCACAATGCACATGCAGCGTCACAACTAAAGGCAGGGGCTTGTCACGCTTGCGTTACGAACTCATGCCAGCTACTGAGCAGGGTAAGCCAATGATGGCCTGACAAGCCGCTGATTTCGTATGTTATTTGACCCTTATATTTTTCCCCATGGAATTACACAAAATAGCTCCTATTGGGCGGCTAAGTAGGGGAGGCGGCCATTTCGCATCTGAATTCATCTCTAATCAGAGAGTTGCAACCGAAACCCGACCGACAGCCGCGTCTAAATTTTGACAGGGTATGAGGTGAGAATAAAGCCCTGGGGCCATACTTTCAAAACTCGCTAAGGTAACGTAAGTACTTACGCTCTATTTTCTTGTCTATGATTGGTGGATTTGTCTTGAAAGGCCGTCAATGATTGGCTGATGAACTTACGATCTCTTAACTTTTTTTGAAAGTATAGGCCCTGTTGAGCTTACTTTGATGGCCATGCAGGTACGCTTGGCTGGTGGTGGCAGTGTTGTTCTTGGCGAACGCCATCACCGCCGGGTACATGAGGAGCTTCGGCGTCATCTACAACGCCGTCGAGATCGCCTACCCCGACACCTCTGCCACTGCAGGGGGCGCCGTCGTCGCTCTCCTCTCCGGATGTAGGAACATTTTAGGTGCGACAGTTGAATTACGGATCGGTTAAAAAATGTAATAAAAATGTTGAATTTTTCTAATGCGGACTTGCCGAATGTGGCAGTGATATACAGTAGTATGAGCAGAACATGAAAGGAATTACTTATTATAAAATGATAGGCGTATTTTGACGATGATGGCATATAATTGCATTCATTACACATATTGCCGTCTGAACCATTTTTCAATTTAACAAATAATGAAAACTTATTTTGAATAATTTGACAACTTTGCAAGACGAATGACAAAATTCTCATATACTTGGGTGCTGATTAAAGATATTGCTACGGGTGCTTAAAGCCACGAAGAGTATTAAGAAATGCGTTCAAATGTTCAGAAATTGTTTTGAATTTATTTCAATACCAGCACCTGCGATGGGGGCAGCCGCGGTCCAATTCGGGGCGAGGTTGGTCATGATATGCGGTATTTTCCTTTGCTCCGTGGGCCTGTTTGCTTCCTTCTTCTGCAATTCTGTCGACACCCTCGCCATTACGCTGGGTGCCATGATGGGTAAATACTATTTTTCATATAATTCAATGTCTAATCATCAAGTAACAAAATAATTAACTATTCAAAACTCAAAAGTAATCTTGTTCTGAATTCGAACAAATCCCCCCCCCCCCTTTTGCTGTAGCTTGTAAATAAATATTCCCCGATACTTTTGAAAGATGTTGGTTACTGGCTGTCAATAGTTATGATACTGGCCATAAGAAGTGTACTTGAGTGCATAACTTCTACTTTGTTTTCCAGGCACGGGCATGTGTGCAGTGTATACCGGACAGATTATAGTAATGCCGGACTATTTCCGCAACAAAAAGGAACTCGCAAATTCCATCCGTGTAGCAGGCCTTCCGCTCGGGGGTGCGGCCTTCCCGTTTTTCTTCCTGCCCATATTCGAAAATTTCGGACTTAAACTCACCTTCATTATCTTATCAGCATTGTTCGCACAGCTTGCCGCGTTTGTATTCCTGATAAGACCATTTTCAGTTCATGTAAAAATGGCTGAAGTCCAAAAATCACGCAAAGAAAAGAGGAAGCAAATCGCTACGAACTCTGTAATAGCTATAAACCATACAGAATCACCACAGGAAACTGAATTAAAGGCGAAAAAATTTGACCTAAAGCTTTTCTTAAATCCTATTTATTGGACTCATATTGGTGCGATTGTCGGATTGTCAGCTGCTCTTCCTCAAGCTCATTATTTCTTGGCCGTTTACGGCAAAGCCATCGGATTCTCACTTGAACAAAACTCTATTTTGATCGCGTTCCAATCGGTGCTGGACGGCGTCACTCGACTTTTGATCGGCTGCATGCTTGACAGAAAACTTTTCAAGAAGACGCACTGCCTCGCAGTGTGGTGAGAAACAGCCGAACGCTTGAGCTTGAAACATGCACATTACTATGATAAGATTTATATTACCATTATTCACCTTGACCATTCAAAAGTTCTTAATAACTTCAGTAATAGACTTAGTTTGCAACATTGTGTGCTCGAACCACTAGTACCAGTAGTACGAACCGCCATTCCTAACTACCAGTAGTTAGTTTCTGGGTAAAATTTCTTCGTTCTTTGGTTCGCAAAAATAATCACGAGCATAATGAATAGTTGCAGTCACTTCCACTCATTTCACACTTTACTTACCACTTTTAACTTATATACAACAGCCTGGTATCAGCCGGCATTGGTACTGTAATGATCCCAGCGTCAACCAACTTCTGGGTGGTGATGTGCACCTTTAGCCTTTTCTCGCTCGGAAGCTCCGGCTACTTCGGTACCATCAATGTCATTCTCATCGATCAATTTGGGGCATACAACGTGGCGTCCTCTTGGGGATTCATTCGTATGATCCAAGGAATCCTAAATTTTTTGTACCCTCCACTACTTGGTATGTAACAAACATTTAATCTCAAAATTCGTACAGTGATCTTGAGCAGCATCAGGCTTTTGTCCCATAAATAACTGAATTTATGTCAGTTGTTTTGTAGCTAAATAGCTCAATTTACGGTTGCAATGTCTTGAACATCGTGTTACATGCAACCCAAATCGTCAATTTTACTAGAGCAAACTTGGATGCATAATTTCTCATGTTACAAAATTCTTTCTCAAACATTCATATACCTGGAATTCAGCAGCATTTCGAGGAAATTTACGAATTTTACTATTTTCAGGTTATTTCGTGGATGTAACGGGCAGCTACCTTCTGACTTTCGTGATCATGGGCATCGGTACCATTTTCGCGGGTCTCTGCATCGCAGTACAGCCTCTCGTTGCCCGGGCTGCTAAGATCGACATGATTTTCTATTAGACGAGAACAATGACTTCGACTGATGAATGTTATGCTGACATTCTATGTGAATCGCCGGAAAATTTTAAATAAAATTGTAACCGAAGCCAATTCGCGTCGGTCGCTTAATTAGTATGAAGCATTGTTAATTACTACGATTGGAAAGGTATTTTCAGTGTAATTCACGACATATTGATCATGTTATACGCGTCATTGTGAATACCTCGTGTTATCACTGTGAGATTTCTGTAATAAAACGTATTTGACACAAACATCGCCAACTCCTTTCAAATAATTCATGGTCATTTATCAAATAATGAAATACTTCCTCAATTAGCATCTATATTTATTGACGAGGAAAATTGTTTATTGTTCTTTTCAGTATTTCGGCCATGTGCCCAAAGCTATGCCAAGAGAATCTAAAGATTTATATAGAAATACTTCTCAAACATTAATCTTCATACTTTTTGAGAACAATTTTAAAATAGGTTCTTTCCTTAGGTACAAAAATGTCCTCCCTTTTCAGATATAATCGTCCTTTGTTTATTAATATAATTGTGCATGATGTGCATCTGAGTACTTTGGGATGACGTCACGCTATCTTTATTCAAGGGTTGCTGAGCATGAAGGGAGAAGTAATGGGACTGGGCAGTCACTATCGCATCCTCATTCGGCTGTGCGCACCCACGCCACAGAGTGCAACGTTCCAGTGTCCGACAGTGAATTTAAGGCTTTAGCTTCTGGTTCTTCCGATCTCCGTTTATTAGAATCATTGTATATTTTCAAATAGAGACCTATTTTAAATGCAGCGTTTAGATCTTATCCACTAGAAATTGTGATGATATAGGTTTTTACTCTATTACTCTGTCTTTTGTTAAGGTTTATGTTAGGTTGAATATAGGTTTTAATTTCTGTTTTTTCTTTTAATTTCGACTGCATCACCGTCTGATTGTGTTTTGTTCTAATTTTTTTCGAACTGACGAAGGAGCTGGACTCCGAAACGTTTTCAGTAGAGATATGGTAATTTTTTGTGGTGTTTTCTTCACCACTGAATTTGTAATGAATTTGTGATCTAGGCAATCAAGTGACATTAATACTAGTAATCATAACGAGATGCGTTTGTTAACCTAATTGTTATCATTATCAGATGATTCCAGGCTTCATGACATAGTAGTCAACTTAATGTGCTACAGGACTGAGGACAGTAGAATAGACACGGCAAGAAATGTAAGGACACGGCAAAAAAATAGACACGGCAAAAGTGCAAGTAAGACCAGCAATGAAAATCTAAATGTTCACGAGATATTAAAACCGAAGTAACGACAAAATGACAGAAGTAACGTAAAAACCAATTGATTTACATTTGCAATGGTGTAAGAATAGTAGCGTTGAGTGATAAGATAAGATTGCAAGAGGATAATAACAGTGCGATCCGCATCAGTACAGGAATAACGTCCTTATATTTTAAAAAAATTTGCTAAGTACATATATGTACGAAATAGAAAATCAAGTGTCAAGTTTCAGATGAACAGATCAAATGCGAATTGTACTCAGGTATGTCAATGATATCTTCGTTGTCATTCGAGATGAAGCACAACTTAGGCATCTACGAATGGCCTTTTAAACTAATTCTGACTTGAAGCTTACTTACGAACTCGGACGAAATCGTACTTAACCTTTTTTGATATATTCGTCCGAGCTAAAAATAATTAGTTCGTCACCAAAATATGGCGGAAACAAACAGATGTCGGGATCGGAAGAGTCCTGAACACCGCCTGCGAATGCTCCGAGTGCTACAAAAGAAGCACAATACATGCATTCATCCAACGAGCTCTCAAAAAATTGCCAATAAAAAAAATTGTCAACAAAACTATTTCTCTTGTCCGCAATGAAACCTGCGTAAAGATACAAATGCCAACCATACTAATATCTGAAAAATATAACTCAGTACTCACTGCAGTGAGTGACAGAGAGCGCATTTTCTCGTCGACGAAAACTTGAGGTCGCGAACGGACGGACAGACGGACAGACAGACAGACAGACGGACATGGCGAGCACAATGGTGCATTTTTTCCATAAATGAGAAAATGCGCTAAAAAGTAACGAATTTTGAAATTATTCACCAACAAAACATTCAAGTTAACATTCGGAAATATTTTTCAAAATACATAATTAATTCATTATTTTAGAAAAAACTGGACACTGTTTTAACCTACCTAAGTAGAGGAAAGTGCAATGAATAATTTTCCTATTATCAATATCAGTAATAGATTCAAAATGACTATAATTAGTCAGAAACATTACATTTGCTAAACACATGGCACCATGAAAACCCATTCGTTTGATATATACCTGTATTAGGAATGAATTCTAATGAAGAATGCTGCTGGATAAATTCTGAATTAAAATTCAGGGGATGAAATAAACGAAAGAAATTCCATAGTCGCAGTGTATCAAAGTTTGAAGACTCAAAATTACTCAATTTGACATGAGATGAACAAATGTCGGTTTGCGGCCCACGGAAGTCTGAAAGCGACCAGTAGATTGCTGAACTATTGCTGGTGTCCATCTTGATGGCACAGGGTTATTCTAAGTGATGTACTCAATTTAATGATTCGTATTTATTAGTATAAAATGGATAATTTATGCACCAATGGAAAGAGAAAGATTCGAAGTTTTCTTTTATATATTTATAAATATTCATATATAAATAAACATTTAATATGTCCCTCTTTAAAACTATAAACGGTAGCCAAACTCGGCCCACACACGATAAAGCATATCTTTAGTTACTGAGCGCACCGTAGCAGTGATACTGTTCTTCAGATCAACCAGAGCTGCTGGTAGAGGCGGGACGTAAACAGAGTTACTGGTAGAGGCGGGACGTAAACAGAGCTGCTGGTTGAGGCGGGACGTAAACAGAGTCGCTGGTAGAGACGGGACGTAAACAGAGTTGCTGGTAGAGGCGGGACGTAAACAGAGTTGCTGGTAGAGGCGGGGCGTAAACAGCTTCCCTGACGTAATCCCATAAGAAAAAGTCACGTGGGGTGAGATCAGGTGATGTCAGTGGCCAGAAGTGTAGAGATCTTCATTTCCTATGCGTCTTATCCTTCATTTCCTATGCGTCTTATCCTTCATTTCCTATGCGCTCGCTGTTGGGTAGGACGCCAAACTACCGACGCCACCGACAAATTCCACGTTTGAATAGGTTAAAAATATTTAATTTTCTCTTTCCATTGGCGTCTGAATTATTCCTTTTGAATTTATACTTAAATATATACGAATTTATCAAATTGGGTTAATCATTTAGAATAACCGTAATTGTAGAATTTAGCGATAAATGTTTCAAGTTGAGATAACCAAAGAAAAGGAGCGCATTAAAGGGGTGTTTGATGATTAGAAAGGTGTCATCAATAAACCTATTGTATTCTTCATTCACCACATTGGTTCATTCAATATTTTTCTTCATATCGTTGTCTAAGAAATCCAGAAAAAGATCCCTACAATGCGGTTTGTGTAAAGCTCGGTGAACAGCAAGCACAGTAGAAATATTTTCCGTACAAAAAACAATATTCGTATAAAAATTACTCTTTAAAGACAAAACTTCTAAGGGCCCAGTGTCTCCAATGTTACACATGTGCAATGAATTTCTTATTTTATTTTTAAATGTTTAGAAAGAAATATTTTTTATTAAAAAAATGTTTGAATTTTTCAATTATTTTTTTTCTGTCAATTGATTCAAGCAATGTCTTCAACTTTACCCAAGTGTGCAAAATTTCAGATCGATTGAACAGGTAGGTGCGTGTTAAATATCGATTATAAGATTTGTAGCAGACAAACAAAGAAAAAGTGAATGTAAAGAGAAGTGTTGTGAAAAGGAATAACTTTTATAACTACCTATCTTAGCTGTAGTGCTATTGATTGAAACGGTGCGGATATTAACGAGCGGAATTTAGTGTTCATCAAATCATTTTGCTTCAAGCATAAAAATCTGTATATTCAGTTTCCGAATCAGCTTCAAAATATAAATCAGTAAATAAACACTCGTCGTGAATATTCTATTATCAAGAGACGGGTTATTTAGCCTCCCATAGGCCATGAGGATAGTTGAACTTCCGGATGTCGATTCATCAAATTTATTCGCAAATTTAGAATGCTGAAGTTTTGAGGCTACAGTTTGTTTAACATCTCCGGCCATTATATCGGTACGTCGCTACACAGATCTTGTGCTCATCGATTTGAATTTTAGAACTTTCTTAGAATACTTCTGCATAACATTTCCAATCGCATATTTTATTGCATATAATAATATGATCACTACGGTAATGGTGAAAGGTTTGCACATCAACGCTATATTAAAAGAAATGTTGTGCGATGTTTCAAACCTCTTCTACTATCAGCCCTAGCAGACAACTACGAGAATGCACGCAAGTTCGGCTGAACTTTAAAGTTGTCTCTCAGTGCTTTGATATAATCAAAATGTTTGTTTTTCTCATCTGAATGGATCCTTTCTGAATGGTCTTTAATTTTAGAAGGTTTCATATCATAATTGCTTAATTAAAGTCGATAAAAAAGTAGCCCTATCGGAAATCGTAACGTACAGGAGACCATTTGATTGGCTAAATTTTTGCGTCCCTTCAAGCCACAACACAACATAAATTTTTGCGAGCAGCTTATGGAAATTACCATACGCTTCTCGCAAAAATTTAGCCATTTTAATTGTTGATAATGTTTATTTTAAACCATTATTTAGCCATTATTATTATTATTAGTTGTTGTTTATTATGATCGTTCAAGCTTGAATGGTTGTGAAAACTATATCCTTAAGATACTTTTGTATGTCAAGTTTTTAGTGGACATCTGCCAAATAATACAAATATCTCTAATTCTTCACATAGTGATTCAGCCGATATATATATTTCTTCTGAATCATATGCAATCATTTCTCACTACAATGAGCATAAGCAATTAGTTCAAAGTTTCACGCTAATATTTCTATTGTTTGCGAATAGTCAGTAATTCAGAGGATGGACTTTAATTCTATTGACAGAATTTATGCACACTTTTAAAGCTATATTCATTTCACTCTTTCATTGTATGAAATGTACTAAACAACATACACAGTAGCATACACACCTTCCATACCTGGAGCGCCGTCGGATAAAACTGCAATATTACAGAAGGAAATTTTATGATTGTTCACAAATTACTTTCAAGCATTTAAAAGTCGCTTAACCTTTGAACCAGATTCAAGATCATCAGCAAAGAGAAATCCTTCATCAGTGTTTTCAAGAGCCTAAAATCCCAACGTTGCCATTAAAAGATGTGAACTGTCGAAAGTTCATTCGTCAAATTGAATAAGCAATTTATAATTTTAGTGTTCCGACATTACAGATTTTTCAACATCTAAGGTTATTTCCCGATGCATCGTTGCACAGATTACTGCACTTAAATTATATACATTTTAAA